GGACACAAACATCAGGGGCCAGGCTGCAAAGTCCGCCAATGAAGCTCAAAACCCGGTCCTGCGCCAACGGCCAGAGGGCCGGAGAAGCATCTCGTGAACAGTCAGAGCGGGATTGGCAATCATGGAACACCTAAAAAACCAACCACGTTCATTATTGTTAGATAAATAACCAAGAAAGATGACTCTTGACGGGAAGTTGCTTGGCAGTTTCAGCCATGGCCACAAGCGGGATATGGCGCAAACTACGCCCTTCCTGCAGCGGTGCGGAAAAAGTGGGTGAATTACTTGTAGAAAATGCGTTGCACACAAAATCATGCCTGACTTTTCTTTTCTTAACAGCAGTGGTCGCACTTGCAACAACCAAAAGGGCAGGTTTGAAAAGCAGTGCATTTGTCAGGTATCGATTCCTTGGGTGAGAGCCTGGCGTTCGATCAAGGCAAGTAACCCTACTACTTGCCGGTTTTACTGGGTTTATCTGTAAACGGAGGTACACCCAAAATAGGTAGGTCCCCTTGGCGTTGCTTGAGGCCCAAGTGGGCACCAGCAAATCCAAACTGGGCCGAACCAGCGGATTGCTGAGGCCGTCTCCAAACCCAAAGGCAAAGCTAAGCCGATTTTGGGTGTACCCCTGACAAAGAAACCCCATAAAAACCGCAAAACGTAGGGTTACTTGAACTACTTGCCTTGATTGAACTGCTAAATGCTCTCACGATCAAGGGATACCTGAGAAATGCGCTGGGTTCAAGTAAATCGACCTCGCGCCCTTGAAAATTCGCTGTCCTGCACCCGCACCTTTCCGCGCGGCAGCTTCCTACGTGACGTCAGAGCCGGGCCACATCAAGCCAACCAACCAACCAACCAACCAACCAGCCAGCCAGCCAGCCAGCCAGCCACCCAACAAGCCAACCAACCAACCAACCAACAAACCAAGCCAAACCAAACCAAACCCAACCCAACCAAACCCAACCCAACCCAACCAACCAACCAACCCACCAACCCACCAACCAACCAACCGACCAACCAAGCAAGCAGGCAGGCAGGCAGGCAGGCAGGCAGGCAAGCAAGCAAGCAAGCAAAGAAAACCAAACCAAGCCAAACAAAACAAAACAAACAAACAAACAAACAAACAAACAAACACAACACAACACAACAAAAGCAACAAAACACGACGCGATACAACATAAACCCACACACACAGCATAATACACCAACAAGCCAGCCAGCCAACCCGCCCAATCCAGCCAGTAAGCCGGCAAGCCGGCTTAGCATGCCACAACACACAGCAGCTACCAGTAACACACCAGGAACGAAAGTGCGCTTGTGATTCAAGGAGAGCAGGAAAACAAATGTGGTTTTCTACCCAAAGACACTCCCCAACAGGAAGCTAACAGGCCTCAGAAGGTGCCATCACACATGAGTCGTCCTTTGCAGGTTTGTGGCATCTCTGACAGACAAGCCGGATCCGTGCCCCAAAACGGAACTGCTAACGGCTGAACCGTGCAACCCTACTACCCTCGGGACATATTGTCCGGATTTGTGAGGAAGTGTTTCCCGCTTCTCTCATGCCCATAGCACCATGCTGTGGATGGACGAAATGCATCACCTAAGAAACCCTGGCATGATTCGATTCCCCTGCTTGTTTCCAACAAACGTTCTGGTTTCAGCCATGGTTTCATTTCGTGCGATTTCTGGAGTTCGCAACCATCCACATTGAACACCCTCCTCGTGCTGTGCATTTCGCCCTTTCGCCCTTTCGGCCTTTCGGCCCGGAACCCACGACGCCTCGCCTCTCGCGCTTCGATGTCTTGGACATCTCCGAGGCGGCATCGCCCTGAAGGCGGAGCCAAACAGGCGATCGACGTGCGTAGAGCCGAGAGGGTCCTTTGGCGCCTAGGTACTTTACAGGTAAACAAAACGGAGAACGGACAAAGTACTTGGACTCTGAGGGAACTTGTTTGGAAGGGCTTTGAAGAACAATGAAATTACGGCAGCAAACTGAATGAGGTCTTGCAGCAGGAACCTAGTGTGGCATAGTGGTTGAAGCAAACCAGCTGGACACTAACCGCCTGGATTGAGGAAACTAACCTCCTCCAAAATTCAAAGGGGATCAAAGAGAAAGCAAGAGGAAACTAGCAACCTGGATATTGTTTGAGGGTTGCAGCAACCGGAAGCCTACTGTACCACGTCGAGTGTTGTTTTTGAAAAGTGTTTTTTCTTTTTGTTTGCGGCCAAAAGGATTGAAACCAAACAGGCGCCGAAAAAAAATGGAACTGACCCCTCCTGATGAGACCCCAAACCTGGAATCAAGGGTGGCGGTACCCCGAACTTTTGACGCTACTCCCCTGTTTTTTGTTTCCCCCCCGGTTTTAAGGGGAACCAAAGGGAAAGCCGCCAATTTGTTGTTGTTTGTTTCTGTTTCTTTTTTTTGGGGGGGGGTCCTCTGAGAAAAAAACACACACCAACATCTTGTCTGCCATCTCTTTAGCAAGGGGGCAAGATATATGGCGCATGTTGAGGAGATAGCCACTGGCTCTTGAGACAGGATAGGTATTCGACCCAGTGGAATACTAGCGCCCTCCAGTTTTGGAAGCTCACTGGATTTGCATAACTGACGTCACCGCGAAAATGTTTAAAGGTGATTTGTGCGCGCCGCTTTTTGATGGTACCCATTCTGCGGTGTTCTTGAAGGGAAACCAACGGGACAACCACTAACCCTTATTCTAAGACAAACCCATTTTGCCTGTCGTGATGGTTGCAAAGGTGTACAATGCTTCTTGTGGGGGTAGTGTCATCTGCTAAAGATTATAGACTGAATGGGATGAGGCGGAGGTTTTGTCATTGGCAAAAAGAAGACAAACAACACTTTCACTGCATGACTCAAACTCCAAAATGTGAGCGGTGGTGGCCCCTTGCTGACTTCCCCAAGGGATCTTCGACCATGGCACACATCTTCTGGGAAGGGTCAGGCAAGAGTTCCACCAAGCGAAGTCCCGTCGAAGCATCTTGCCCCCCCCCAAAAAAAAGAAACAAGCAATACAAGCTTGACACGTTGCTGAGGAAACACACAGTATGCCAGCCATTCAACTAGAACATGCCATTATAGTCGCATCAATATATTTGTATACTGTATACAATACGACAACTGTCAAACTCCAACCAATTGAATGCCCAAAGGAACCCCATGCACCTGCAGAGTCCACTTTGAACACTTGAAACAACGAAAATGGTACAACCAAGCGTAGGAAAGGAAGCGATTGTTGTCACGTTTTGTTGGATCCAACCAAGGGCAAACTTTGCAACAGCTTTTATGTGATGCCATGCCGAGTGCAAAATAGGGTTCTCAGCGAAATGAAACAATAGTCATCTCGTTTGAGTGTCCTTTAGGAAAATAACATGCTGGGTTATCTGGCACGCAGCATACTCCGTGGTTCTGTTTCTGACTATATAACTCTGGCTGCTGCGTGGCGTGTCTGGCGTATGTTTGGAAACTTCTACGCACTCGCATGTGCGGTATCAAAACAAAACATAGTCGGCCCGTGCTCGCTTGTTCCTCCTCAACCTTGGCCTCAACATTCCAACACTCCCAAGCATAACTCAAAATTGTAGACGGACAACATATCCCTCCCACAAAATCCAAACATGCCCTCCAAAACACAGCATACACGTTGCACAATCCAAGTGAAAGCTTTCAACCGGCTGTCGAATCTGTCAAAACATCAATATAAGACAGGCCAACTCGGCTAGTGATCGAAGAGGCCCCATTACCCGTCCATTGCTTCCACTTCTCAACCTCCCACATTTCACCTTTTCGACTAGTGCGGAAGCCCTTCATACCCACCGAAAACCTTGCACATAAAACCACCTCAGATATGTTCAACCAGAAAGGGGAACAAATTAAGACATACCCCCCTCCGTGTTCCAGTCAGGCTGCACGATGGAGGATCTCGGGAACTGTCATTGCCCGCGAACGCCGGGCGTCTGAGCCCAAATGGCGAGCGGAATGAGCTGAGGGAGGCAGTCGCATAGCTTGCGGATCCTGTGGGGAAAAGATGTGGCTGCGAAAAGCATTGAAGATTTGGTACTACCACCAAGATCTGCACCAGAAGCTGTTTTGCTTAGGCTCACGCCAAAAGCTGTTTAACAACCCCTACGCCCTCCTACTCACTGACGAAGCGCTTGCGTCAGTGGTTGGGCATCAGTCACCCGCTTGAGCGCCATCCATTCTCGGGGCTAGTCCATTCGGCAGGTGAAAGGAACCCCTCAAACAAACTGGCTCCTTGCAAAGCGATCCTGAACATAGGACCCACGCATGCACCAAACATGGATGAAACTTGAAAGTAAAGCTACGTTCATGGTTCCGGTTGGTATAGAAAACTCTGTCTGCAGTCCATTTTGACAAATGCATGGCAGTCCTATCAACCCATGAGCAATTGCAGATTCCCGTTTATGATGATTATCTGTCGAATGCAAACGATTTGCAACGTCGAAGCGACTGGATTCAGAACCCGCTGCCAATTAGAAATTATGTGCGGCCATTCAGTCCCAAACCACTGCCATTCTTATACCTCCAAGCGAGCCCTTTACCTGTCACAACCCGATCGCAGACCAAGGACATGAATTGACCTGTGCATTGGCCCCAGGATCAGCTCTTTCAGACAAACAACTGCCTAGAGTCTCCAAGACCCTTTCAATGTAGCATCACAGCCCCCATGTCATCACCACGTTTCAAGGGTCAAACAGGGCTGGGTTGGTCTTGCTCTTCTCGACTTGTTTAATAGGAGTGTAGACCATCTGGCGGTCACAAACAACTGGTTGTCTGCAGAGTAAGCAGGAATTTCCTGTGAGTGTTTGAAAGGTTCCCCCGTGTACCTAGGAAAAGTACTGATACCAAACTGGACATGAGGGAGCCCCCTAGAATTCAGAAGCTCTTAGGGTGAGCTCGCTCTATCCCGAGAGATGGACGGACAAATGATGGGTGCAGTCAAAGCTGAGCTATTGGCACAGAGTTCTTCCAAAGCTCCTGGCGAATCGCCGGCAAGGAGCCCCTCTGAGAAGTATGCCGAAACAAAAAACAAACAAGCAAGCAAACAAGCAAGCAAACAATCAATCAAGCAAACAAACAACAAACAAACAACAAACACACACAACAAACAAACAACCAAATCAAAACAGAAGCCAACACCAAATCAACAACACAAAAAACAAACATAATGGTAAAAAAAACATCCCGGCACACCCACCAGCACAAACACACAGACACACAGACACACAGGCGCACAGACACACAGACACACAAACACACAAACACACACACACACAAAGCAAACAAACGACCAAGCAAACAAAAAGAGCGTTGACCAAGAACAGCAAGGGAACTATCCCGGTTTCCGGTGATTTTCTGGGGGGGCGTTTGCTACCGCCCCAATGCAGCCTTGCCTTACCAAAGTTGTTCTTGACAATTCGGGGAGGCCGCACAGTTGGAAAGGTCTTGTTTGTATCCTGTATCGCCTTACATGAGCCTTGGAGCCTGCAGTCAACCGACCGAAGGCTGTCCTGCGTGTTGCCCGACCTGAGTACGGAGCCCTAGAACTCCAAAGTACATGCACCTTGCTCCCTTGCTCGTCATGGTCATAGTTCGGATCCTCAAGATGGATGTCCAACTCCCAGTTCAAAAGTCCATCACCATTTCCTAAGACTTAACCCTAAGAATTCAGTCTTTGACCGTGTCACACATGAAACCTTTTTTGTGATTTCTGCACGTCAACTTTCAGATCCACAATATAAGGTCTCATAACTTATTCGCAACAGTCGACAGTCGCTGATATTTGCTGAAAGCTAAAATTCAGTGTCCTCTAAGTTGCTATTGCTGTTCCAATGATGTCTTCGTGGGTACGCCTTCCAATAGCCATCCAAAGGGCTATCTTCATATTGGCGTGCTTTCGACATGTACCGCAAACGAGCCGCTGGTCGAGCTACACACAGTTTAGGTCTGAGTCTGATTCACAGTCCCCTGTTTGGACCCTCTTTGAATGCACCTCACTACCGAAATGCGTCGCCTCTTCGTTAGTTCAACCCCGCACATGGGAGCATCAGTTTCCGCCCAAGATGTAGTTGGAAGTTTGTGAAGACATTTGTTGAAAAAAAATGTCCCTACAAAACACATTGAGGTGTGCAGCTCAAAGCGTAGCTGGGCGGTAGCTCATGTACCGTGCGCAAACAAGTCCCTCAGCACGCTTGTAGAAAACCTGCTCTCCAGAAGGGTTTATGTCTTACAAGTCAAATCAAGGCGGAGCCTGATTCGATATCGGCAAGCGGAAATCAAGAAACCAGCTTTGCGTGGCAAAGTGCAAGATTTAGCATATTCTTTCAGGATACCAACTACGAACATGAATACAATCATTGGCGCGCAAATCATGGCAGCATTCGATTGATTCACAAAAGGCTTGCTTGGTCTGCGTTCGATGGAAAATCAACCATCATGCCTGATGCCCGGTCTGCGTATCCCAAACTACATCAACACAGCTTTCTGCCCGGCAAACTTCTGACTAAAACACACACACACACATACAACAACCAACCCACATGCAAACCAAACAGAAACGCAAAACCAAGTGACCAACCTGGCAAAAGAGAACAACGCATGTGCAAGTGAAACAAAATGACTTGTTCAGAATAAGCCTGTTGCACCAGGGAGGAACCATGCTGTAGTTTACCATCTTTTGTGTGACAAGAACACACAAGCCGGGTGAAAAGAACACAAAAGCCGGGTCGCCACAAATTAGACGCGTTCCGTCAGCCGCTGCCTACTGCGACTGCACAAAAGCTGCGGAGATAAAACAGTCCAATCGCTCTCTGAATTTATGTTGGTATGAAACCAAAACCGTACCAGAAAGCACATTCTCTTATGGTGACAATTATAGATGGCTTGTAAGTACCCCGCAACCCAAATCGAATCATTTAGGCTCTTAGAAAACACCCCGGTTTGCCACTTGGTATTCATTTTGGCCCAGGATGAACAAACATGGTTGCCTAATAGGAAAATGTCCCCGTCCCCCACTAGAGGACTCCTTATTCACCTGATTTCTCCGGGTTGACACTGCAAGTTGCTTCACATGCCTCGTTCACTGCAAGTCTCCGAACGCGGCGCGGGGCCCCACACCCAGCCAGGCTGCAAAGCTCCTCATGGAGATGAATTGGTTCAAACCAGGGGTCTTAGAAGCAATCTTGGCAGGTTGACCTTGGCTTTGGGGAGCAGTTTTTTTTTTATAGCAGCTAAGTGGATTTGGATTTCAAGCACTAAACCACAAGAAGCAAAAATGAATCAAATGTTTCCCAACTACAACCATGTTGATGGCGGCCATGTGTTGCTTGCCCAAAAGGTCTCAAATGGCATCCTGTACTGGCTTGGAAGCGGAGGTTGGCTTGAGAGAACCTAACCAACCCCCTCGATTCCTGGAACTCTGCCCACAAGCCTGGGAAATACAATAGATGTAAGGTACACATCGCAAAAACAACAACCCCCGCTCCGCTACATCTGCAAACAGGCGCTTTCCTCCTCCATGCCTGGAATACGTCTGGCTGCGTGACATGTCTCGTCCTTCCTCCCCGTCTGATTTGCGCACTTCACTAGGAGCTTCGACGGGCTGTGAAAGTTCAGCCCGAACCCACTTTTAGGATGCCTCCAAACCGGTAACGTAGAAACCGCTTTTGGGCAGCGTTTGTATCTGTCGCGAGGACAACTTTACTTATTGAGCTTTCTAAGTCAGCTCAAACTGGTCAAGTTTTGTTCCACGTTTTGGATACGGGCACCCGTGTTTGTTGGGTTGTTTGGGATTTGTCATGTGCATATGATTATTGATTCTTGTTTGGGAAAGATTGCAGTTACATCGCCACCAGGTTCTCCTCCTTCGCCACTTCTTGAGATCACTCGGACCGTCGCCAGAAGATCCATTGATATTACCTACGCCCATAGAAACAATACTGCGCATAAGCATGCTGTTATACTTCTCTCTGCTTCTCTTATTCTCACGGAGCCAAATAAAGAAAGGGAACTTGAGTAAGGGAAGGGCAAAGCCGTGAATCCGGAAGCCTGGGAAGGCAAGACATGATCAAACACCCATGCAGCAAACTGCAGCATGCCGGAGTTGAACAAGGGGTTCACATCCCTGAAACGCATCACAACCACCCATCATAAGGTGAACCCAGATTTCTTTGGCGCACCACAAAACACCTTAAAAATGACCGAAGGACTCTCTTTACCATTCAAATATCCTTTGTCATGTACCTCTAAGTTTCGGGGCCACCCAGTTTGACAGGCTAATGAACAATGACTTCAGGTGGATTGTCTAAACAACACCTACCGATTGTCCGTTCTTCGAGAATCACTCTTGTCCCTTGTCATTAGCGCTTCCAATTACCACTATAGATCACTACAGTAGGCAACCAGGTACTACTGCGGATGGACGAAATCCTGCACCACTTTGAAACCATGGTTGAAGCCATTGTTTGTTGGTATTTACAGGAGAATCATTCAGTCCAGGGTTTCTTAGGTGGTGCAGGATTTTGTCCATCCACAGTACCTCTAGGTTTTGCATCGTGGCCCGTTCTCGTGGCGAAACGCCCCGCACGATCGGTTTTTTGCGCCTGGAGGGAGGCGCCCAAAGAGCAGCTCTGCGCCAGCTGCATAGAAGCCTCGTCCCGCCTCGGTGATTTTTGAGAGGCCTAGATTTGGGATGATTGGTTCTGTCTGGTATCAATATAATATATACACACATATATATATATGTATATATACTCATATATATATATACATAGTGGTCACAGTTTGCCGTTTTTTTTTTTTTTTATCTTTCAATTTGGACAGTTGAACAGCAGGCTGGTTGATGCCGGTCATGTACAGTACCCGCTCTAGAAGTGAAGCCACTTCTGCCAAAACAGCGACCGGAGGGAGGTAGGCGGGGAACCTGCTCGCACAACAAAAAAGCTGCCCAGCCCTGTTGCAAGTTGCAGAACAGGAGGCCTTGTCAGCATGGGCAAGGAAACAAACAAGCAAATACTCGCAACACAAAATGACCATGCCAAGTCATTCCCGGATGCAGTCATTTGATTAGGATCCTTATTTGTTACATCGCCGATCATCACTGACATCTTAGCATGTGTGGTAATCTTTCCACTGCGTGTCCTAGACTGGCAATCATGTTGCCTGGATGTATTTCAATGTGCAATGTGGTGATACTGTTGACAGACATGCCCAAGACACACGCATTGCCCTATTGGATCGGTAAAAGGCATTGCGGTTCAACAGCCGCACAAAAGGCGCATGGCGGGACCTAAGCGAAGCCTAGCGAAGGTGAAGTAGCTCACTGGATGCTTAACGGCTGGATCCAGACTCATCAGTCCCACACGCATATGCTGCGGCTCACTCTCTCTAGGCAAGTTGTCCCACACGCGGGCCCGTGGGACCCATGTGAGGGTCCATCGCGGCTACGCACACAGCACCCTATCGCTCACAGACAGAATCTCAGAACATCTCTGGCGAGCTGCCTGTGAGTTCCCGCCATCCACGAGGCCTCCCGGTTCCTCTTATCTTGAAAAATGGATCTCCAACGGCATTGCAGGGGATATCATTCAATCCAGAGGTCGGCGGTATGCCCACTTGGACGCTTTGCTTTTTAATGTTTTGACACGACCCTGACTCTGGCGTGTTTGGCCTTAGTCCTCAGGTTGGGCCGCAGGTTCAACTCTTAGCCCAAGGAGTATCAAGTGAACCTTCCCGGAAACCGAGCCTTGGTCCCCCGAGCCCCAGGTCCGCCCCAAAACTAGGATTGGCCAAGACGCCTTGCCCGTCGAAGTTGAGGAGCTCACACACCCAACCCTTCCCTGGGATCCGGGCGGAACCAACAGGGCAAGCCGCCGGTCCTGATAAGCGGCGAAGCCGCTGAGGGCATGGGTGGTGGGTCAAATGGGTGCGTGCGTAGGGAGTGGGATCTGTGGGGGAGTTGCAAAAGATCACGCTTGACTCTTCAGTTCGAAGGCCTCCGACTGGGAAATCGGCGTCTGGAAATTGACATGCTGTCTTGAGCGGCCAAGAAGGCCCACGCGAAGAGAAACGCAACTGAAGAATCAATGGGTCATATATAATACTCGGAACAATTAACAACAATCGGAAACACAAATGACATGCCCAGTGAGTTAGTTGGTGTTCGGAAACTTAATCGTTCATTGCCGGTCACTTACATGCCAAGTAGCAGAGAACACACACACACACACACACGCACACAATGTGCTGGGGTGGTTGCGTGAAGGGAACCCTTTCAACAAAACATTCGGGTGGACTCCACTGGCAGGGCAACTGTTTTGGGCCCCGAGCTCGCTATGAACGGAGCCTTCATGCTTCAATATATTTGGACACCTCGATAACTCGATACGTTTTTTTTTGAACAGGATCCATTCTGATGGCCGGTTCGCCCTCAGCAGCCGAAACGGGCGAGGGGGTATGTATTCTCTTGAGCACTCCCAGGTTTCATCCAGTTTTTGTTTGCTTCAGGGCAAATCGCATGATTTCTTGGGCAAATCGCCTCGCTCTTGAACCAAGTCCCATGTCAGCATATCCCCACCTGAGTCATAATCCAAACGCGGTTTTAACATAGTCTACCCGGTACCATGTAAAGAATTAAGAAGGCGGATATCCGCAGCTATTTATGGTTGGGATTGTCCCTGACTAACCGAGCCATCTACCCGAATCGGTTTTGAGCACGTGGCTCTGTCGCAAAAGGCCGACTGGTGCATAATCGAGGCCTTTGCCAGGCGTGGAGCTCATGGAGCGGAGCTCGCAGCTTCCCATCACTACTCTCAGTTGGTCAGCGACCCTGGAAAAAAAAGGGAACCCTTTCTTGGGAAGACCCATTTTAGTGGGGCAGCCACCCAAAAAAAGAGAAAAAATAGGTGCCACTGAACAACTGAGTTTAGTTTGGGCCCACCGCAAGAATCTCATTCTCGACTTCTTCTTAGATAGCTGCAGTTGTCCGCGTCCTCCCCCAAATCCATGTCCTTGCACTTTGATGCCCCTAGCAAACCACTCGTTGGCGTTCTCGATTCCAACTGAAGACCTGCATTCTTGGGACAAGCTTACCAGTTTGCAGTACTTGGTCCATGACCGCCTGATTTGAAGAATTGTAAAGGCTTCAACATCCGCAGTGTCTGGCCTGTCGTGCCAGCACTGTAGGTGTCCTTGCGGGCAGTTTTCGGCGTGAGTGACCACGACTTGCAGACTGTTGGCAACAAGTAGCATTCCAATCTGAAGTACATTACACCATCAACACAGGTGACAAGGAACGAGCGGATTGTGTCTACAGTATGATTGTGGACTTGCTCCCTGCAATGAACCCACTGGATCCAGAGAACACACACACACACACGCGGGCACAGATCACAACTATTCTCCAATCTGAAGAAGTGAGGAACAGCAGAATATCGCTCAAGGCGGAGGTGGTTGTACTCCCTCCCATCTAGGTTTAGTTTGATCCGGAACAGAAGAAAAAGCGTGCACGAAGTCAGACAAATGAGCCTTGGCCTGTCTCAAAGAGGTGGAGCGCAACTGCGGCCCTGACTCTCGTTTCAGAACAACATGCGTGGCTAAGGGTGGCCACGCGTGCTCGCGGCACAGTCTGGACGCTTCCCTCTTATTGCTGATTCTCTTTTTCGACCCAAGACTCTGAAAAGAAGACCAAAACTACAAAACCCAAAGGTCAAAACCGCCCACTCGTTTGGGCAAGTGAGCAGTGCAAACCCATCTGCCGTCGCACCAGCACGAGGAAAGCAAAACCCGAACGGCGTCCTGTCGGCACCCATCTTGCGATGCGGAAGACGAAGCCAGCTGGTCCCAAATCAGCTGGAGTGGGATCGAGCTGGTGTTATGGAGTCCCCTTGAGCCGAAAGTGGGCAGTCATGGGCAGTGGCACCGCTTCTAAACTCGGCCCTTCTGTGCTCAGGATCCTTTTCACAGGCCCTTTCGCATCGCAAGAGCCAACAATTCGCGGGGGATTTAACATGGAGGACACCAAGGAAATGGTAGGATCACGTCTCCAGCGGGGCATGCGGCATGCTTAAGGAGGAAACAGATACGAAGCACGAAATTAGAAGCATGAAGCATAGATCTGTGCAACATCAAAGAAAGCCAGATGCCTGCATGCACACGCTGCAAGCACAACTGTACCGCTGGCTGAGGTTCACACTATTTAATTCTACAACCTGACCCAAGACTCTCCATGATTCCAGATCCATTCAGGGTCGAGCGTGTTAAACTCTCACGCGAGCTCGTTTTAAATTAAGCGCCACAGACCCCAATGCACATTGATTGCCCTTCGTAACTCGTGTATCTGTAAATGTGTCTGCCTTTTCCACTACCATTCGATCGACTTATTGTTTTTTTGTCCAGTAGTTGTTGTCGTTCAAATGTTGAAACTATGCGGTTCGGACATTCGTTGCTGTATATTGCTGTTGACAAACTCATTGAACAAGTTATTCGAACAAGCATCCGCTGCTGATCCGTGTCCGAGAGATCGAAGCTCAAAGCGATCCTCTGAACTTTCAAGCTGTCTGTGCACATCAAAGCATTCGCTCAGCATGGTCGCTCATTGTTGTGACAAAGGGGGCGTGGCAAAACTTGATGCATATTCAACCAGTCGACCCTCAGAACACACGCCAACGATCAAGCCTGACAGTAAAAAACACGAGTTAGTCGCAGGCAGTCATCATGCATTCGCACTATGGGGATGTCTCGGGAAGTGTTTTTTGGAAATGTTTCCAGAAGGTTCCAAAACAACATCTGCAGAAACCTATCAACCAGCTGGGAAAGTCCAATTGGCACTAACCTACCATTTACCAGCAATAATAATCACGTCTACATCCGGGGCGGAGCAAACAACACAGGACCCCAAGGAAACATGATGGAGCTTTACGCAATGCTCCGAAGACATGTCCCACTTTCGGGAAACACGGGCCAAAGGTTGCGAAAACACTGGCCCAAGTGGACCAAATGCATTGGACTGGTGTAAAACCTCGTTGAAAGCAAACGGAAGGCCGCAAAGTGGGTCCACTGGGCAATTCTGGGTCCAGGATGGCTGCTCGAAGCACGGATCAGTCCCACGTTTAGAGGGAACCCACGAAGGCGGGGCAAAATGACACTGAAAGCGTTTCCAAAAGCGAGCCTATCTGTGGTGGGGTCCAAAACCGTGAAATGAGAACCCTCATGGGCAACATCCTTTGTGCCCAGAAGCCCTCGATTTATGATCCTTCTAATTTCCATGATCTGCCCAAGGGAAGCTTGTGGGCCAAACCATCATTCAAGTTCTTCTGACACTGGCACGCATAGGTGTCCTTTTGGGGCAAATAGATGGCCCTGGTAGATGATTAAACCACCAGGTAAACCAGGGCCATCTATTTTTCTACCAAAACAACCTAAAAGGACACTTATGCTGGCACGGCGTTGCCACTAAGAGTAGGCCTCTCTGCCAGGCAGGCTTTGGGTTGCACAAAACCGCTCACGGCTTCAATCTTTTGTGGCTGTGGGTTGCCTGCAAAACATCGCATGCAAAACGTGGATGGGCATGAAACCAAGCAAAATCTGCCCCAAAGCTCTCTGGAACATGTATAATATTCTGGAAGGCAACTTGCACCAATGATTCACTGTACTCGTTGCGATCGTCAGCTGCTTCGGAATCATCCATTGGCATGAGTGTGTTCTCAACTGCACCAGGTCCTTCACCTAGAGTTGCAACATACGGCACTATGCCACGCTGAAACCAAATTGTAGACATGCTCAAACAAATGATTGAATCGTCTAACCCTGCCCTATCAGAAAACTTGATCCTCATTTGACTCGACACGGTCCTAGTGGAAATTGTACGTTCGAGTTGCTGCACTATCCGGCACGATTCAAGCACAAATCGCTGGACTCCCCAGTCCATTCACATCGGCACATGTTGATCTCTACGTCGTCTCTGGCGAAAGCCGGCGCCTGTCACACTGTACATGATGTTTTTCTGCGCGCTTTCGCGCAGCTCTGAGCTGCAAAGTATTGCTCGGCCCTTTCTGGATCCTGATGGATGTTACCAAGGAAGCCCTCGCGTTGGCAAACACATCGGCATGCAAACCCCCAAGGCACCGATTCACTGGGTGTGTGTGTGTGTGTGTGTTTGTGTGTGTATGTATGTATGTTTGCACGTCTTGGAGTGGCTTCATTTCTGCAACAAACTTTGCTTGTTACTCAGTGGCCGTGGACAAAGGACTGAAAATTGGGAGGCAGCCGAGCAAAGGAAACAAGAATGGAACCCACAGATTTCCACTCCAAGAAGGCTGTCCAGCTCGTTTCGACGTGTATCCAGGTTCCACCAAGCGTGCTAGTCACTTGGCCACTGTAGTTTTCCGAGAGGCATTTCCAGCCAAACGCATCCCTGCTTTCAGAAAATGGCCGAAAATCCTGAGAAGGACCAAGGAATCTGATGCTGCCAAAATGCGCGAACCCCCCCCAAACAATGGCAGATTTCACAAACGGAGGACCATTGGGATCTTATCCATTGGGATCCTTGGACCTCCCCCCAAAAACGTCGGGGCTGTGCTGCGCGATCCGACCGACCGACAGTCAGCACCCTATAGGAAGCTAACTAGACGCCCACAATGAACGGTTTGACTTCCTGGAGATTTCCTGAGTGCTCAGGTTCAAAAGACTCCCTGGCAAGGTTGATTTGGGCCTGTCTTACAATAGGGGAATCGCCCAAAATATGGCTCTCTTTTGCTTGTGTCCTTGTAAAACAGCCCCAAAATAGGTAGGTACGCTGAAAAATGACACACCCATTTATGTAGTTCTGTCAACCTCCCTAGGGTGTCAGCAGAAGCTCATGCAAATGCCTCGCGGGCAAGTGCTTCTTGAATTTCTGGCCCTGAACTCGGGATTCGGGTCATCATCGATTCGTTTAGAGATCTTGAACGCAATTCTTCAGAGCATGCTTGAGTTTGTCCGCGTGACAACACAGGCATTGGTCCTTTGACACGGACAATCCTCCAAGTCCTTTGACAAAAATACTCTTGCAAGCGAAAAGAGGAGTTATTGGTCAGTTTCTCTGGTTTTAGGGCTCATAAATTTCCATTTGCTAGACATGCCGCTAAAACAACATGTTGTTGAACTAGTCATTGCCATGTCACTCATAACAAACAGTGAACAACGACAAATCGCAAGCCCAAAAGGGTGTTGCTTCAATCCTTCTCGCTGTTGGCCTGTTATGCGGGCTCGCCAGCCGCTTCTGCCAGAAAAGCAGGCTGAATTGTGGCGTGGGCCGCTGATTCACATTTGCTAAGAACATAGTAGCAATAAAATGCACCAGCGCTGGGCCAAAGGCCCCAAGGCCAAATCAAGCCTAAACACAGCCAAAAAGGCGGGGGGGGGGGGGGTGCAACCACCTCGAGGTCTTTGGATGTACATTGCTTGAAAAAAGGAGCTGCTTCTGCACATCTGCGCAAAGCTGTCGAACACGGGCGCCTCGACTTTGTGTGGGGGCCCGTTCTATTGACAGTGCCACCTTCTCTTTGGGGCGGGTACACGTCTACTCCATGCCAGTCCAGTTTGTTCAAAGCTGCCTCCGAGATGTGCTCTCCTCATGTGATGCTTCGGAGAAATCCACGTGACTTCACTTCCACTAACCCATCCAGCACATGGCTCAACAAGCAAGCGTTGAGGTTGTTGGAATACTTCAATACATAGTGACGGGAGTAGGCAACCAGGAAAGCACGGCCATCCACGATGATGCTTGGTCTGCTTGCCAATACTTGCAATATGATGGCAACATATGGCAATAGTTCGCACCGTTCGGCTCCCTCCAGCGGCCCTTGCCCGAATTACGTCGAATTCCCCCCGCGCGGCGGCGCACGAGCGACGAGCGCCGAGCGAAGGGGGCTGCGCATCGAATTTCTCCGCGCGAGCGCGGGGGCTTCGCGGTGGGTGTTGCCTGCCCCTGAGAAGGCGGCGGGCGATGGCGTTCGGCCTCCGATTTTTGAAGGCATGGGCCGTCCCGAGATCAGCTGCTCACTTCAAGGACCAAGCCGGCTTGTCAACAAGCAATTGCCATATTGTTTGAAATTAAACAAAAAACACACAATTGCCAATTGACAAAAAAACAACAAAAAACAAAAACCGTGACAACCACGCCTTCCTGAAGGGGGCGGCCCCTTCTCCAAGTGTCCACCAAAATCGCGCGGCTCGGCCGATCGGAAGCACTCAGCCGAAGACTCGGTCCAGGGCACAAAGCGCAGCCGCGGCCACCTCGCGCCGAGCGAAGGACTTCAAGCCCGCCTACAGGTCCTTAAGTTGAACAAAGAATGCTAAAGGCGGTCATGGGGCGGGGGTAACTGACCGTATACATGTGAACTCATGAAGAGTTGTGGCAAAACATGTGGTCGGACACAATCGATCCATGCGTCATGAACATGCAAGCCGTACATCGGGGTCAATACCAAAGGTTCACATTAAATCCGCATGCATACACTTTTGAAGGGACACAGCAACGAGGCATGCAGTTGTGAACCCAGTCCATGGGACGCATACGAAACCCTGGTTGAAACACGTGCCACTGGACAAACCTGGTGGATTGACAGTGTCATGGGAACTCCCGGATCTAAGTAGAACCTGGTTGATGAAGAAGGGGGTGTCCCCACTAAAAGTGGGGGTTCCTCAGTTTTCGAGCGGCCCCCTCACCCCGAGGATGGGTCTACTGTGACTAGGTCCTCCAGTTTTGCGAGGTTAGAATAAGGCTACCCTTTTTCCTTTGTTGTCTACTTTAGTAAGGGAACCGAATCTCCCCAAAAAAAGAAATGGTAAAAGGGCACTACTGGGGGACCAATTGGTGAGGCTACCTACCTACCTACCTACCTACCTACCAACCTACCTACCTACCAACCTACCAACATATCAACCTGCCTTAGCAACCTACCAACCCATACCAACCTACCACCTGTTCACCCTGACTCCGAGCGCCTGGGCCACGGTGGTTTTGCGCCCCGCGGCCGCCGCCGCCGCGGCGGCCGCGCCCAGGGCAGCCGCCAGGGCGGCGTCCGGCGGCTTCGCCCGCCGTGCGCCGCGGAGGGCGCCTACGGCACGGGGAGGGCGCCGGCCGCGCTTTTGGTTTAATGGGTTTAGGCCGCAGCCGTCCCGTGGAAACCTCAAAACCGTGCGACTGTTTAATGGGTTCAGGGCGTAAGTTTGAAAAATGGAGGGCGTTTTTGGAAAGAACCCCTTTTTGCTTGCCCTGGAAATCAAATTGAGAAAAAACACAACTCCCGTTTTGGGGAGTTCGCAAGATCCCGCGTGAGTGCATAGCCTCTGTTTTGAGACCCTCTTTTGTACTGAGGAGTAAGTGACAATCAGTTAGCATACTAACCAGTACAGCTAGCATATTAGTTAGAGATGTCCCAATAAATGGGTGGGCCACAATTGGCGGTCCATGTACAGACTGACTCTTATTTGCTATGGTTTCTATTGGGCAGCTCTAGCCCCAGGCGCGCAAAGTGTGGATAGCTTTTTGGCTGGCAAGTTGTGACATCCCCATGTCTAACCACAGTGCAGCCAAGATATTCGGTAGTTTCTCCACTTGAGTTTTCTTCGGTGCTTCCCGCAAAATGATGGCAACTATATGTATATTTATATATATGTATATGTATTATACCTAAGCTGTTACACAACATGGAGCGAGTTGAAACATGTGTGAGCTGTTCAACATGGAGGGTCGTTCAATCCTCAGCAATGATCATCATTGAGAAACCAGTTCGAAGGGGGTCCAACCTGCTGCTTGTGACTTGCTTACACGTGGATGGATTCGCCTACACAGCAAACATGGGTGTGTCTGCTTGAACAGGTACCTTTACAGGGTTGGTTCTTGAAGGGAGACAAACAGGAAGAACACCCCGCATGTGCCATGTGTCTCCGGACATGTCCAGATTTGGGTGAGCTGAGTGGCACCACATCCCCTGCCCAGCTCATGTGCTCGACCAAAACTGTAACTATTTGGGGGCATGAACCTGTCATGGCCATCTTTCTATGGCTCTCCTTGCTATCCATTTCAATCAACATTTGATAGAAAGATGCAGCCGGGGCTCATTTTTCCTGCATCACCTTGCGCGCCTTACAAAAATGAGCGGCCCGTTTGCTCCAAGGCGTGTTCGCTGGAATTGCCAATTCATTTCACAGCATCTCTCCCAGGCCCGTCATAGACACGGTCATCATCATCTATCCCAAACTTGAAGGTCACGATCCCATCTTTCTGATTGCTTCGGAGACTTGATGATCCAATCGAATTCTTTACCGCTGACCAAGCAAACCACTCATGCCCCGCCTGCCGCGCAGCGGCTGCACACCTCCGCGGAATCCACGAACTGCCCCGCTGCGCCATAAGCCGCGGCCTGCACGCGCAAGGAGGCGATGGTGTGAGGCGATGGTGTGGCGCGGACGACGATCCGTTGGGTTCAAACCCCCGAGGTTTTTGTTACCACCGGAACGTCCCTTGGAAACCACAAGCCCGGCGAAAAGCCGCAAGGAAGGGCGCGGAACGGCGACAAAAAGTTCAAAGGGTTCTTGAGTGAGTAGCGCTTGAAGATAGGAAAGCGCTAGATGCATACACATGTCACATATCTACATAAACGCGCACATGTATGTTAGTTTATGTCTGGAGCCGTGTGCATGCGGAAACATCTGAGCTGTGAACATAATATTTGCAAGGTGACACTCCGATGGGAAGATACATCTATTTTTAGGGCTCGGTCAGTGCTGCCCCAGCCATAGATGGGCACGATCACCTCTGGGAGTTTGTTTTACAAGGTGTTCTCCAGCGGAAATGCAATGTTTCAGTGCTACCGGCCAAGAGATGTAGAGATGGTTGCTGTAAGGTCCATCTCCAAAACAGTACTGTCCGCTGGGCAACCTGTCACGCCGGAGAAATAGAAGGTCTTAGCACGCCTTCTAAGCGAGTCGATGGGCTGGGCCAAATAGGTTTACAGCAAATTGCGGGAAAACCAGCCAAAAAAAGGCTTTTGAGAGGTGTTTAAGCGTGTAACAAGGAGTTGGCCGTTACCCACGCCCAAGCTGCAGCATAGCAATGGAAGAAAGCGCAAATGGTCGGCCAGCAACCAATTGGAAGAGTAATTTCTTCAGTCAAGCATTGCACACGATTTTGGAAAAGGAAGCCGCGGCAGAGACTGAAGCTGGTGCATCAGCTGCACAGGCAAAGCACTGTGAAGCTTGTTTTGCGATGGAAATGATGTGAGGCAACGTCAGATCCAGGAGCCTCAGCCTCGCCAGTCAACTTCAGAGAAAGCCGCATTCCTTGCTCCATACAACCAGGTCGGAGGCATTGCCCTGACGGGTCAAGATCATTGAACATATATCTGGACGCAGGATACAACTTCACACAACCTCCCGAACTCAAAACCAAACTCCCTGGGCAAAGTCAGCACACGTCTGGCGCAAACAGTTCTCCAGCACCCCAACAACTGCTTTTTCCTCATGTCCAAAACCCCAAGCACTGTCCCAAAAGCAGTGGTTCGGGGTAGGGGGAGGAGATGCTGGATGATCCACAACTTAGGTCGTTGTGAGAGGGGAACCTGCCCCACAAAAGAAGAAGCAACACAAACACGCCGGAATCCGCTGAAGAACCGAGAAGTGCACAAACCCCTTGTTCTTGGGTCCTATCAAGATGTGTGTACAGGATTATGCTGAATATTACCCTGCTCAAACCACAGAAGCAGGTAGGCTACAAGCCACATACAACCCCCTTAAGGTAGACTAAACTTAAGCAACACACTCAAACCAGGTAGGCAAAACCAATGCTTCATATAGGCCTCACCGCGGGTCCCCCTCGTAGAATTTCTTTGACGCATGCCTCCTCCAGCCGCGCGGCTAAAGCGCGGTTTGAACGCGGTGGCGTGGATGGCGGCGTCGCCGGCGTCGGACTCGGGGCCTTTGCCGCGGCGCTGGCCTAAGATCCGCCGACATCGTTCGGCATGTTGGACAAGAGAGGATAGAGGATAGCCCTTGGACCCTAGTCGCCCCCCCCGCGACGCGTCAAATAGGTAGGGTGAAGGGTTTGAAGGATGGTCCTTAATTTGGAGGGCTTTATTGGAGGGAAGGCAGTGTGAGGGTGGGCCTCAAGTTGGAATCTCCACCAAATGCCTGAGTTGCTGGAATTCGTTTAAACGGCCAATGGGAGTGAAGTTGAAAGCACGCTGACTGTTTGTGCTCGGATAATCACAATCCTGTCCAAAGACGAAGCGTCCGCCCTTGTCGCAGGCTGCTTTGGAGTGGTGGCAGCTAGAGGCTCGCCTTTGGTATCTGAGCGTTTGGCCGCGCGCTTCAAAGGCCGCTTCACGGTCGAGGGCTGAGGGCAGCGTCGCACCTGCCCGGACGCCGAGCAAAGACCTCTTCAAGGACGTGAGCGTGTCCACAAACTAGGTATGTCCTTTTGTTGGCCACGCAAAGGCAGTAGCGGTGCTGCGGGTGACATCTGTCAGACGCGAATAAATGAAAGGGTAACGCATTGCGGTGTTAGCCTACAGGCCTGTACACGCAATTCCTTCGGTGCTAAGCAGAATCTATGATTCCTCCCAAACACTTGGAGGTAGCAAACAAAACCACTACAAGCCCACATCCAAGCACTCGCACACAAGCTCATTCAACTGTCAATGGTTCCAGTGGGGGGTTGCCAAACATATGTGCCGCCTTTGCTCGACGCTGGTTTAACGCCGGCTTACCTTCAAAGGAGTTCCTTTGAGAGGAAGTTTCTAACTCTGACCCCAGCTGCCCAGCGGACACGCGAAGATCAACGGTAAAGGATTCCACGCCTTGGGTGGTGACAAAGTGGAAGCCACCATAGCTGAAGAGCCAAGGATAGACCCCGCTAACTTTGCGTCAGGCACAGTGGAGCATATGAGGCCTTCTGACAGCTCACTCAGGCCTTCTGACCTGACACAATGCAATGCACTGATTTTCCCTATGCCCGTCTTCCGCTGAAGCGGCAGCGGCCAGTGGGCATGAAGCGTGGCTGTTTGATGCAGTGCCCAAACCTACACCAGGTAGAAAATTGCCAAGATACCTGTATTGTCCTCGGTGTTTGTTTTTGGTGTAGAGTGTAGAAATGGCACTGTGCCATCCAGTGTTTGGGTTCCAAGACAAATGCTTGGAGGCTTCATTTACAGATTCCCTATGATGCCAAGCAAAACATGATGAAACACATGCTGACGCCCTAGTCTCCCTCTGCCTACCCATCAGTCGTATGACTCCAACAAACACAAGCTGATAAGATGGATTTGAAGACTTAGCAGTCACGTTCGAACAGCCGCCTTGCCAATTCTCTGATTGAGCCATCCAAGCCAACAGAAAAGCCTGATAATCACTGGATATGTTTTTTTACAATAACTTCATAATCATGCTGGATAGTTAGTTGGGCATGGGGCAATTGGGTGTTTCGGCCCCATGTGGTGTGATTGAGATGTGCGTGAGCTCTCCCCAGCCGTCCAAAGCATAAAGGGACTTTCAGTGATGTCGTCAGTATCTCAAATGAGAACAAAACCAGGCGAACCAGCTCACATAACAAGCCAAAAATTGAACCCCAAACACGCCCAAAACATGCCTTCATATAACCACCTGAAATGCGCACATATTCACATGTTTATACCACTGTGCCTCGATTCATTTTTTGGGTGCTATAATCCATTTTGAGAATAAGGGCACTTAGTCCTAAATCAAAGAGGTCACTTAAGCCATTTAAAGGGCACTTAGACCCTCAGGGTTGCCCTCCCCAGCAGCCCCCTCCTCAGTCGGGCAAATCGAGCCCCAGCGACATGTGACTGCGAATGACTCTCACACGGGGGAGGGACCGACGCAGAGCAAATCGAGCTGCAGTGACACGCGAATGACACTCGCGCAGGGGGGACCGACACTAGCGTAAGTGACCTTTTCAAGGGGTAAGTGACCTCGATTCGCACCCCCACTGACACTCAAATGTCACGCTTTGACACTCAAAACGCCATGTTCGGGCTTTCCGGGTCGGCCCCAATCAAATGTGGCAGTTGTCACACTTCTACACGGGTAGCTGTTTGATTGCAACAGAATCCCAACCACTATCAAGCGAAAAAGGGCACTTAGCAAACGAATCAAAGGGTCACTTAGGCCACCGACACGGCCTTAAGTGCGTCGATGCAAAAACACCTCTAGTGCCCTTCTTTGGAGGGCACTAAAAATATATTGGTCCGTGAATTTGAAAAAATGTGTCTACAAATATAGAATATATATATATATAATATATAAACACGTGCATATTGTAGTATGTGAACACTTGACCAAACCTGGGAATGCACCATTGACCTGTTTAATGTGCGAATCTAGTGGAGAGACGAATCAATGCTTCAGAAAGTCAAAATTCTGCATGTTGCAACTGCCCACGAACAAGTTGTGTTGCAAGAAAGCACGCACGGGCAAAGGTTCTCAATCTTCTCAACCATAGGAATCTGAGCGTTCCAGCTGCATTTCGCCTAGATTCATCGCATCTCTTTCTCATCGCATCCCTTTCATCCCTCCTTGTTTCCGTAAACAAGCCCTCGACAAGGCCTGTCCAACAAGCTGGTTCGGAATGACTCGGCAGCAAGTTGGCTGACAAGATGACATCTCGTTTTGAAAGTTTGGTTCAGAGACATAACAAGCAAAACAATAGCAGCCTAATAATAACTGCTGGGAACTATTCAGGACGTTTAAGGGGTTGTATGAGAATCAGTATCTTAGTTTTGCCCGTTTCTGTGCCGAGCCAAGATTCGTGGACCTCAGAGCCGCATTTGGGCTGCGAGGGCTGGCTGCATCTTACAGCCTGGTGAAACTCTCTCGTCTAAGTGCATTGCGATGATTGAGCTGAAGCTGGGCTGTGAAAACTCGTGAGGCGGCTGGCAAATTGATGTTCTAATTGTTTCTGAGCAACCACTACGACAGCAAAGGATGCCTTTGACCTAAGGATCTTGGGGGTGGCCTTTAAACAGCCCAGACAAGTGACTCTTTTGCACGAGACCATCGCCGCTACCAGCTACCGGGCTGAGAGAAGTGGCGGTAAGCTGGCGTCGCCTGAATCACTTCGTTTGCGTCCACAGCCCACTGACGTTTGCTACCAACATGGAAATGAGTTGGATGTAGCCCTCAACCCCTAAGCCACGGATCCGCCTGAAACGGCAAAATGACAAACACTCACTAAACATGAACGGAACCAAAAGAAGCAACAAACACCGTACCTGGAACATTGTTGAAGCACTTGCTTTCTACGTGTCACATTTGGGAGTTTCTTCGAACTATACATGAAGAGCTGGTCAGAAGGCCTCAAAAGAGCTAAACGCAAGCATCCTCTCCTTACCCTTGCGCGTAATATGTCACCCTCGCACCCCTCCAAAAAGCGGGTCATCTTGGTCAACAAATTCCCATCATCCAGCGGAAGATTGGGGATGTGCGCCCTGTGTGGAACCCCCAAACGCATCTTGGCAAATGACCCCTCGTGCACAAAGCTTTTGGGGAAACGCCGAATTGACGCTTTCAACTCTCGGATCGGTGAGCAAACGTGTCAAGCAACAAGCTGGGTCAAATGGAGCCAAATGGTTCACGAAAATGCAAAGAAGCAACTCACTTCTTCAAAGGACCAAGGAGACTGCCACCAGCCATTGCTGTATGCCGGGCATGTTGTTCGGTACAACTTACTTGCCCAGTCTCTGGAAAGAACAACATCTTCTTTCTTCCGCCGGGCCAGCTGTACGTGCGAAAAAGCATCTCCCTGGGCCTCCGGATCCGCGCAGCTGCCGCTTCTCACCTCGCACCGCGAAGCGCGGATACAAAATCGAGACCTCTGGGGAGCCGCGGGCATCCAACTTGTGAATGTGACTGTCTCCATGTGCGCCTGCGCAAGGGAGCGCACCAAGAAGTGTCTCTGTGCGTGTGTGGATTTGGGCGCGGGCGACTCCGGCCAAGTTTTTCACGCGGAAAGGAACTGGTCCAAACTCCCGGCGTCCGTCCCTACAAGGGCGGTTCTATCTATGCCACGGGGCGTGTCAAAGGCCTTCAGCCAGGAAGGGATGCTTCGAAGCAACGCTAGCCCAGTGGGTTCCCATGGAAAAACACGTGGGCGCTTCTTTGGAAGAAATCAAAACCAGCTAACCACCGAAACAACAAACCGTTGGAGCCCTCTGGCCATTCAAGAACTAAACATGGAATTTATTGCGCGCAGGAAATCAGGCTGTGTGGTCCAAGTAAGGCAATTTGCTCCCGCATACTTCGCCCCTACTGCCTGCAACGCTTCGGAAACAAGCATGTACATACAGTAAATATGTGTTTATGATAATATGTATACATATATATATATATATGAATCTTACTTATATGCATCTATCTTCTGAGCATATCGAGAAGCGCTCAAACGAGCAAACTTGATTGCAGGGAGAGTGATACTAGTGCTTGATACGCTGCCTGCCACTGAGGTTGCTCTTTGAGGCCATCCGCTAAAGGGAGACCCTTCACCAATTCCAGGAGCTTCGGCTTGCCCGAAGACCCTCCCTCTTGAACTGACAAGGCTTTGGAGACTCCAACTGAGAGAACGAGCGCGAGATTTTGCCTTGCCTTCCATGACCACCTTAGCCCAGGTCTGCCACACCGGATTGTGGAGTCATGTTGCTTACATGGCTGTGGGTCAAAACCACCCATTTTAGAACCTATTTTAGAAGGGATTGGGATGTTCACTGGGGGCTAACCGATTTGGATTTTGACCCATGGCCACATGAGTTCATGTCACAACTTCAGCTGGCGTGGTAAGCCGCGCCTTCCTTGCCGCCCTCCACGCCGAACTGGGCTTCCAGGTCCTTGCGAGAGGCGCTAAATGGCAAAAGGGTCCGGGAACGCAATGGAAACAGACCAGTCGCCGCAACTCCCAACTGTGGTTGCCTGTCCAAAATCCCAAGTGTCCAAAAGCCGCTGGGAATTGCGAGCAAGCTGCAACTGCAACTGCACCTGCCCGTGCGCAAAGTCGTTGCAACAAACAGAAACAAGATAAACAAAAAAAAAAGAAAAAAACGCAACCCTGGTGTCAAACAGGGTTGTGTAAGCTTGCCATACTCTGAGGAATAAAAAATAATATATTTCACGTTGTGTGGACAGCAAGCGCATTTGAGATATTTGACTACGTGCACATACGCTGACGAGCCAAGTTGCCTGGATTTTTTTTACCTAGTCTACTCTATAGGTTTGTTCCACTTAGGACCAACTTACCCTACTTATAAGTTACTTAACATCAACTTATGTTAAGTCGGTTATAAGTTACTTACGACCAACTTAGACCGAGGTTATAAGTAGGACCTAAGTAGGTTTCTTTTGGGTGGCTTTTCTGTTTTTAGAGGATGGGCTTTTATATATCAGGAGGCCATACGAAAGAGTTTTTTGTTCAACTCAGGAAGGACAGCGCCTTTTTTCGCAGCTCTCGCCTTTTTTTTCGTGCTTACAGATCTGACAGAGCAAGGGCTTTGGCGCTTCGGCTGCTTCGGGCTGGGCCGGCTGAGCCGTGCTGGGCGGGGGTGCGTCCATGGCCCGTATATACGCAGCCGCAAGAAAAGCCTCGTTTTCTCCTTTGAGCCACGCAGCTTGCGGAAGACACAAGAACTTAGGTTTTTGCCCGGAGGCCGATAAGCGGGCCGACTCCGGGCCGACATGCGAGGAATGCCATGGGTTCATGCGACGTACGCGGGCCGACGGAGGCCGACACGAAAATCTTATAAAACCATCCGTTTTTTGGGCGGGCCGACGCCGGGCCGACGACTCTCCCACTGCCGCATTTCAAAAAAAAAACACGGGCCGACAAAGGCAGACAGGTGGCCGACACCCCCCCTTTTTTACAAAAACCAAGAAAATCATGCCCTGCCCCAAGTAAAGACTTTAAAAAAGGTCAACCTCCAAGATGCTCTGCGCGATCGGTGGGCGCTTGCTCTGCCATGCGCT